GTGAAATAACTACACTAAGGTCAGTACAGTTTACTGGGTCAATGTAATAGGAGATTAACATATCTTAATTACCTACAGCTTCAGCTGGCACGTTGTGCCTAACTCAAGGGGCTCTGCAATAAATTTCTGAATGTTCTCATGTTCAAAATTTGGCAATGATGGAAACCTGTTAATTCTGAGTATCCATTGTAGACATACTCATACATTTCGACATACATTTTGAGAGTATATGAATTTTAGAAAGCATATTTGAGTTATTTCTATACAGTGGTGATACAAAATTATCAGGATGACTTGAACATTGTTGAAATATCCATTGATATTCCTTTAAGGCTCTCCAACTGTTATATTGGTTTGAAAACGCTAACTGTATTCCTTTTTCTTGCTGTTAAAAAGAGGAACTTGTGATTTGATTCTACCCTGTGATTTGATTCTATTTGATTCTATCCTGTGATTTGATTCTATTTGTCCAACTGGAGCAAGATACTTTATTAATGTGCTGTCAAGATTGGTATCCCACTGTTTGTGATTCATTTTCTACACTCAAATTTATGCACCACACACTATCTCTCTTGGTTGTGTCTTGCTGGACTAGAGATGTTAAAATATTTATCTAGGAATAGTAGAAATAGTAGGACAGAATATTGAAAGCGAACACTTGCAGACAAGCATTGTTACTTCACTACCATAAAATACTTTTATAAGGTAAAACACATGGTGACAGAGCACACATTTTTCTTGGTTTTTGAGTTCCTAAGAAATTCCCAATTGGGTCAGCTAAATGATATCTCTAGTCTGATATTCTGTTTGCAGCAGTGGAAATAGGAAATGCAGGAGATATAGATAGATACTGTTTGGTAAGAACATACAAACCCAGCCATTTTCTGCAGTCCAAACCCCATTTCATCCAGGATCGGTGACAATGGTCAGCTGCAGGAGAGGGGCTGGCAAAAGTCTATTTGCTTGGCTTCAGCAGAGTGCTCACACTCAACACAGCAGGAGGAGATGGTTTTCTCGCTGTCATTTAACCTCTCTTCATAGGCTACCATCTTTGTTTTCCCAAAACAGAGCAGAAAGATTACCCTTTACCAGTTCACTAAGACTGAAAAGTTAGACTCTTGAGAGAAAAGTTTGACTCTTTTTTTTGGTTGTTTGTTTTTCCCCCACTCAGGATCTCTTTTAGAGTAGTCTGCCTGCTCTGAATATTTCACGTATTTTTTCTTTTTTCTCTGAACAAGTATGTCAACCTAACATGCCAACCTTTTTCTTTTAATTGAAATAATTATTTAGCCATAAAACCACAATATTTTGGTATCTAATCTCCTCAGATGTGGATAAACTTTTATTTGTTTCAGTAGGTGACTTACAATTCCTGTATTCACAAATAACAGTCCTATTTTTAAAATATATCTTTAATTTATCCAATGTTAATTATCACACTGGATAGTAGGATAGTAAAATGCAAATATGTAAAAACACATTTAAGATACAAACTTAAATAATTTTAACTAAAATATAATTGTGGAATTGTACAAAACTTCCTTACATAGCAGCCAAAAATAACTGTTTTGCTGTGAAGTAAACAAGTTTAGAAGATAATGAACAACTTGTTTTTAAGGCTGATCTGAACTCCTAAAAAGGAAGTCTGGGGTTTGCATGTATAATTCCCCCAGAATGTATTTTTCTTCTGAATACATGTGGAGCTTTCCCGCAGCTATTGTGTAAAACCCTTTTCTGTGTCCATGGATTTCAACTATGGGTTCCAACAAAATAGAAATGAACCAATTATATGGCATGGAAATGTCCAGAAAAAAAGTCTCTCTGCAACAGTTTGGTATGAAAATTTAGCAAATATTAAAATGATTGATGTTGATGGAGCTGTGAATGTTTTGAAGTGACACTTTCCGTTCTTGTCCCCAGCACTGGAAACAATCATGCGATGTTTAACTTTTCCAGGGAGCTTAAATTCAGTCTTTAATCTTTCAGTTTGTCCTTTTTCCATCCAGTCTTATTGTCTAGGATTTTTTTTTGTTTTTAGGTCCTTTGTCTGCTAGATACGTATTGTGCATGTTTGCATCTCTTTTAGATTTCACTTCCGCCATCGTGATCACAAATATCTGTTGCAAAAAAATTTTACAGGACATCAGCACAGTCTTTAATCATAGCTATCCAGTTTATCAATGATCTCTGCTTTGCTACTAACCTCTTTCTGATTATCTTGAGCACTGGCTGCCCTTCAACCTCATTGTTCCATCTGTCATATTATTCATGATTTTTTGGCTGCCTAATGCCAAGGACTTATTCAAGATAAACAGTCATCTAAAGATTTTTCCTGTGATTGCTGTTAAATATACAACCTCTAGATAGCAATTCTTCTTAACATTTACATTTTGAGATTTTGATCAAGGTAGTTAGTAATTTTTCGTGAATCAACTTTTATTATATATTTGACTAAATCTGCTACCCACCTTCTTTTCTGATTTCTCTGTTACACTTTTGGTCATGTTTTAAGATATATATGCCCTGAAACAAAACATTTGTTTTGATATTGCCCATTACATCCAATATTAAAGAACAGATTTGTTTTATTCAATCTCCTTGGTTCCCACCTATGAAAAGTGATTGGTATGGAAAAAAAAGATGTTAGGAAGTGAGAGAAGGCATTTTAATTGTTTCTCTCCTTATGTTTCTTAAATCTTAAAGGTGGACATGGATAAGACTTTTTTTCTATACATATAGTTTCTGCATTTGCTCATCTGATGTTGCAGAACATTAGGATATTCCTGAGCATCAGTGCCTCAGTCTTGTGAATTTTTTTGTCCTAGGTGAGGGAGTTGTTTTGTTGCAGCATCAGCACTAGTGATCTAGACTCCAGGGAAGGGTTTTATAAATCCTTTCCTCCAATCTCAAAAATAACTCTATTCTTGAATGGCATACTATTGAGCTGTTCACTTTCCAGAAAAATTGACTTGGAAGTCGATGCATGTTTTACTCCCTTTCCACTTTAGTCTAACTCCTTGCCATTTTTTTTTTTTTCAAATAAAATTATTTCTCTTTCTAGTTTGGGTACTTCAAAATCTAACTAGTCCAACTAGTCCGATATATATTCATATATGCATATCCACTAAGCAGATATAAAATTGGAAAAAAATGATGAGGTAGGTGAGAACAAACAAACAATGGAAAAGTGTTGGAAATATTGTATTTCTTGATATTTTATTGCATATAATAAAGCCTGAATTTAACACTCGCTTCCTTTTTCAGTATATTTAGCATGGCATTTATAGATTCAGAAGAGATCATTTTTTCATCTATAATCACATCGCAAGGACGAATGAAAATAAAATTCTAATTCTTTTTATTTTTTAAATTAATTAACATAAATGTGAGCTCCCATTTTTTGTTTGTTTGTTTTTTTGTATGACTAGCTGCTTACTTTAAATAGATTGTATGAACTCTGTTTTTTTTCTTTGACACACTGGTGCTTTTAGTCACCCAGTTCTTCCTGCTGTTTTCACTTGATTCTGTGCTGCTATATTTTGAGATTTGCTTCCTGTCTTCCTCCCCTGCTGTTCTTTCCAGAAATGCTCTGCTTTTTGTTTGATGAGCAAAGTGAAAATTGCAATATTCCTGACCTCTAAAGAAAGTCAGTACTTCAGGAATCAGGAATCTTGCAAATTTCACTTAGCTGCTGACAAATGGAATATTATTAAACATCAAGAGGATTAATCTTAATAAATAAATAAATAAATAAATAAAAGTGCATGTAGAAGGTCTTATGCTGCATTACCGGGCATGGAATAGCTTCAGACTCTGGCATTCATTAGTACATGCATTCCTGGAACAGCTTGTTTGATTTTAACTCTGCAACAGAAAAGCGATTCCAAGTTAAAGCTTGGAGTAATTTTCTCCCCCAGTCACAAAACTTCTGGAAGTAAGGGTTTATCATTTACGGTATCCAAATTATTATTCCTTTCCTTCTTCCCTCCTCCATTTGGAAGATAAAAGTGAAGCATTATGCACAACAGATGGTGGTGTTTTCGTGGTTAACTTGAGCAATCCTTATACCTTGAATAACATAAAGATTCCATTTTACTCAAAGCCTCTCTGACATGTCAGAACATACAACATCTATTCATTGGTAAAATGAGAATGCAGTACTCAAATTAGAAAGGCATATTAATTAGCTTAGCATATGCTCATGGAAAACACACACACACAGGAGGGAACTTGAGGAAACATGTATGTCTGTACAGATAAATAGTAAATCCTTCTGAGAGCATCTTAGATGCTCTCAAATTATGGCTGTTCAGTCCACTTCCTTCTTGCAATGTCAGACAAAATTTGTCACGGCAAATCTGTGATGAAAGACTTGCATGCCAACAGTTTACTTATTTTCAAATGTAGGAACACTGTCAATTGCCTTAGAACTGAAAGAATCCTATAGCACCCTCTAGTATACTTGAAAAATCCTTACTCTCATGCAGCAGTGAATCAGCAGCAACTCCGATGACTATTACGTTCAGTCCTGGGAGAACAAAAAAAATAAAATCTGTCCACATCTTTAATTTGCTTATTTACTAACTTACTTAAGAATACCCTTGTCAGTGCTCTGTGTACTAATGGGTCTTAAATGCCTTGATCATCACCACACACCAGCCACACACCTTCAATTTCTGAAGTGCCAGTGCTTCATTTAAGCTTAGCTCTGGGCATCCAGTCCTTACCCACGGTGTGCTGTAGATATAACTCAACGCTGTTTTCTTTTGTGCTGTTCAACTAGTACTGGTCTCTGAGTGGGTTCTGGGCCTGATTCATCACATTACTTGGTCTGGTGAAGTCAATAGTGAACCATCACTATCATCAGTCCAGCTGGTGATCTTTGGTGCAGCCTTCCTCCAGCTGCTTCCTGACAGCATGCTTCCTGATTTTGTAATTAATGAGATTGTCTATATATGCATCTACATGTACATATACATATGTGTATTTCATATATACGTGTATGTATGCAGTGATGCAGAAATCTTTAGTTGCCAGAGTCTGGGAGGCTGCAACAGTACCCATGAGCGACAGCAGCTAGCACCTATTTTCATACTATTCCAATGTTTCATATGAAAACAGAACCTCGAGAATCTTGATTAGCCCTTTGCTCATCTCAGCAATTAAAAGCTTGGCAAAAGTAGTCATTAATACAGGATAATGATTGGGATTAGGCAACAGGCTCAAATAACTGACTACCATAAAGTACACCTATATAATAGAAAATTACTATTCAAAGATTCCTACATAATAAGCACCCAGAATGGATACCTGAAAGTAAAAATACCCTAGGAAGCATGACTACTTTTTGACATGCATTACATATGGTTTTCTTGAATTTTGGAGGGTTTTTCTAATTAGAAGCTAGGATGATTACAGATTTCAAACTGCTTGGTGAGATAAAGAAGGAAATAAAATTCTAGCTTTAGCATACGATTCTACTATACTATTTCCAGAGCCTTATGGGAAATTAAAAAAATGGGAGATTTAAATTTCTCCAGAAATGAGCCAAAGATCAGCTGTTAGGATGTATAAACTTTTCATGCCAGCTGCACAACAAACATTTGCTCATCAGCCCTAAAGGTGCAGAAACTTTTGTTCTATTCTTGTGGATAACAAATTCTGTTCTTCTGACTAGAAGGTTCTTTCAAGGAAGCCCTATGAAAAGCTTCCTCTTTCCATTACACAGTGATCTACCTATAAAATACATTCTTTCAATTTAATTTTTTGCAAAAAACATAATAATGTTAACAAATATATTCTACAAGACATCTTATCCCCTCCTCCTGGTAAAGAAAAGAGGTTTTGTGATCTTCATGAGAGAAAAATAGATGGAAGTAGGGACTGTGGCTTTTGGAAAAGCTATCATAGAATCATATAACCTTAAGGTTGGAAGGGACTTTTAGAGATCATCTAGTCCAAGCCCCCTGCACACGCAGGGTCACCTAGAGCATGTGGAACAGGACTGCATCCAAGTCAGGTTTGAAGATCTCCAGAGAAGGAGACTCCACAACCTCTCTGGGCAACCTGTTTCAGTGCTCTGTCACCCTCACTGTCAAGAAATTTTTCCTTAAGTTTCTGTGGAACTTCTGGTGCTTCAGTGTGTGGCCTTTTCCTCTAGTCCTATTGGTGGCCACCACTGAAAAGAGGCTGGGTCCATCCTCCTCACTCCCTCCCTTGAGGTATTTGACCAGGACCCCTCTCAGGCTTCTCTTCTTCATGCTGAACAGGCCCAGCTCTCTCAACCTTTCCTCATAGGGCAGATGTTCCAGGCCCCTAATCATCCTTGCAGCCCTGCTCTGGACTCTCTCTAGTAGTTTCACATCCCTCTGGTGCTGGGGAGCCCAGAACTGCACACAATATTCCAGGTGTGGCCTCACCAGGGCTGAGTAGAGGGGCAGGATCACCTCCCTCCACCTGCTGGAGATGCTCTTCTTAATGCACCCCAGGATCCCATTGGCCTTCTTGGCCACAAGAGCCTTGTGGTCAACTTGTCATCCACCATGACGCCCAGGTCCTTCTCTTAACTACAGGCCTCCAACTAGACTGCACTGCTGATCACCACCTTCTGGACTCTGCCATCCACACAGTTCTTAATCCACCTCCTCCTGATACTCAATAGATCCACACTTCCAGAGCTTGCCCAGGAGGATGCTGTGAGGGGAGGTGTCAAAAGCCTTGCTGTAATCCAGATAGATGACATTGACTGCTCTCCCCTCATCTATCCAACTGGTCATTCCACCATAGAAGGCTATCAGGTTAGTCATGATTTCCCCTCAGTGAATCTATGTTGACTGCTCCTGAGCATCCTCCACATGTTTAGAGACAACAGCCAGGATGAGCTGTTCCATCACTTTTTCAGGGATGGAGGTGAGGCTGATTGGCCTCTAGTTGCCTGGGTCCTCCTTGCCATTTTTGAAGACATTGGCTTTCTTCCTGTCCTCTGGAATCTCTTCCATCTCTAGGACCTTTCGAAGATGATGGAGATCGGTGTTAAAAAGTTATCATTAACGCACTGCAGAAACTTACAGAGCTGTTTGTGCCTGGCTGTTTTGTCTTTCCAGCTGGTCTCAGAGTGGTTGAAGCCCGCCATGAGAACCAGAGCCTGTGAACGTGACACTCCTTCCACCTGTCTGTATAAGGCCTTATCAACTTCCTCATCCTGATCAGGTGGCCTGTAGCAAACACCTAACACTGTGTATCCCACATTAGTCTGCCCTCTAATCTTATCCACAAGCTCTCAACTCGCTTATCATCCATGCCCATGTTGAGCACTATGCATTCTAATTCCTCTCTCATTTAAAGAGCAACTCTACCACTCCAGTCATGTGAGCTATCCCACCAAGTCTCTGTAATTCCACTGAGATTGTGATGCTGGGACCACACACAGGTCTGTAGTTCCTCCTATTTATTCCCTATGCTTTGCTCATTGGCGTACAGGCATTTAAGGAAAGTAATCAAGCCTGCAGGTTTCACAGGAGGTGTGAAAGAGGACCCTCTACAATCATCTTCTATACTCACTTACTCTACTACCCTACTACCATACTCCCGCTGGATGCCTTCTGACTTTGGCTGCATGACACTGATTGCCCTGTCCATGTAGCATTCCCCTTCCACTTTCTTGCTTAGTTTAAAAATCTCCTAGCCAGGCTGGCCAAACTTTTGGCAAAGACACACGTGCCCCTCTTGGTGAGGTGGTTCTCATCATTCCCCACTAGCTGGTGATCTTCAAACTGAGTCCCATGTGTCGAGGGTCACTCTCGCACCAAGTGCCAGGGCCCTCCCCACAAGCCAGAGCAAACAACACCTCCACACAAAGTGAGGTCAACTCCGCTCTGCTGTTGTCTGTAGCAGGGTTTTATACCGGTGCAGGTGGGCATGCGCTGAGGAGCAGCACTCATTGGCTACAGGCTCCCAGCTGATTGGTTCTCCTCCAGGTGCTTGGTTGCTAGGCATCGGTCCAGTTCCCCACAAACTCCACTTTCCTATATATTCTTACTAAGGCCCCAACATCTCCCCCTCTTTTTTCCAAAAAACAAAAATTAGCAATAAACATTGCAACATTTACAAAAAACAAAGTAACATAGCTGTAAACCTCAGCATTTTCCCCTCTTTTTACAAAAAACAAAAATTGGCAATATCATGCATCAAAATATTATAAACAAAAACAAAGCAACATAGTTGCAAACACAAGTATGATCATTCTGGTCACACTTTTATGATAATGTTTCATTTTTAAATTCCCAAGACAAAAGAAAATGGTCCCAAAGGAATACACAATTTCATTTTGCTTACAACCACAGAAATTCTTCTTGGAAAGGTAATTGTGCTCTTCATTTCAGCAACAGGGGAAGGAAAAAATCTTGCCCTTTGGAGCTGGGGAGGATGGGGGTCCAAGTTAGTATGGTCAGACTGGATATGCTATCATTTTTAGTTTTCAACCACTGGAAAGTTCTTCCAGTCA